CCCCCCCACCTCTTAAACCAATGAACTGTGGCCAAGGCGAGGGATTAAAATGTGCACATAAAGGGAGAATGGAAACCTGAGTCCCTGAAAAGCAAGTATGCTTTCTCTTTCTGAATTCACCTGTGTATATATATATATATATATATATATATATATATTTTTTTTTTTTTTTAGATTTTGCATAAGAAAATAAATGCTGGTAAATCTCTAACCTATATCCAACTAGCTCCCAAGTATAAAAAAAGTGAGTAGAATGAAGTGTGTGATAATGTGTTTGAAAACTCCAGAATGCATTAAGTCAATGTGTTTCTGCTTTATTGTCTATTCTTCATGCATCGACTAATCAATATTTCACAAACAACAGGTCAGCATCCCTACCAACAAGGCATATAAACCAAGTTGAGTTATATACTCAAGTCATTTATACGTGGAGCCGTATTTTAGTGAAACAGTGACATTTTTGTTTAAATCTAGGCGTGCCTTTCCACGTCTCCAGTGATCAAAGTCTCCGAGACCTAGTTTCAAAAAGTGTTTGTGTCGAAGTGAAACTTTTCCGAAGCAAACCCCATGGAGGTGTGAAGTAGTTCGCAGGTGTGAAAACGCACGTGCACAGGATACATGGCTGTGGGGTTTGTTAAGTAAAACTATTTTTTGTGGAAAATTTCCAAGTGGTTCCACCTCATCACACATGAGAGAATGTAGCGGCACAGGAGGGAAGTCGAGCACAGACGTGGTTTAGTTTGTAGTACCGGGTTGCTTTTACAAGTACCTGGCGCTGGACACGACTAATGTCTATGGTTTAAAAGTACTGCAACCTAAAGATTATAATATAGAGCAGATCTGATGAAGAATGAGGATTCAGATTCATCCACCGTCTATCATCATTTCTTTCTCTGGCTTTTCATTTGTTTTACACACATATCTCCATATGCATCATCATTTTTCCCCATCTTTAGACCACAGCCGTCGGGTAAAGGCACCATGTAATGACAAAAGACATGAGTACCGTGTGTACTGCATTTTTAAGAGTGAAGCCACAGCGGAAGTTGACACTCCATATTTCTGAGTAAAACTGAGGCAGTCTGGAGAAAAGGCCCGCTGAATTCCCAAATCTCACATTTAATCCTGAGTCCTGGGGTCCTAATGCTCAAATCAAGCAGCACAACAGCACTCAATTGGATTATAAAAATGAAATTCAAGCAGGAGTGCAGTAAGCCAGCTGTTTCACCTCAGAAAAGTTGGCTGAGGTTTTAGCCCAATCAGGGTTTATCAGGTTTTAGCCTCAACCAGTTTCAACCAAAAAAAAAAAAGCTATAAAAAGTTGGAATGGTTGGAAAACAGAGCAGAAAATATACTAAAGTAAAAATATCTTATACATTGCTGGTCATACTCTTATTCCTGCTATTCAGTTATTATTATATTATATTTTTTACACAATTCAAACTGTCATGAAAGTGGACAGAATTCACTTGAATGACAACCAACTGACCACAGCATGACCACAATTTGATGTTGACAATAGAGAAATGTAAATATAAAAAAATACTGAACACCTGAGTCAGACATTGACATGTTACATGTTCAACTTTAACTGACTGCAACATGACACTTAAACTTAAGTCAGAGCAGTAACTTTTGTAAATTAAAAAGGTCTTTACAGTCAGAGTTGAAATCACAATGACTTTACTCTTACAAATCAACAGACTAATAGATTCCTGCAACAACACAGTTTGCACTAGTGGAAAAGTTGTGTTTGTGACCATGACGCAAAACAAACATGCCCATATTGATCCTATTAGCATTCACTGGTGCTTAGGTCAAGACTGAAGGCAATTTCTTCCTTTGCAAACTCTATCCTCCACGTCATCATGGAGGACAGAGTTTAGTTCCAGACTGCAGACCAAATGTAATTGCTACTGGTTACAGAAATCCATCTTGATCACTCTCTACATTGAGATTGCCTCCAATTATGACCAAACCCGATTCCAGAGAGGCACATGATGGCCTCACACCATCACACTACTTCCAACCAAAGCTGAAATTAAAAGCCTTTCCAACAGGATGGAAAACTGATAACTGTAACATTATTCCTGTCAACTGCAACATTGATTTCAGTTGTGATTAATCCTAATTTTCCTCACTTCCTTTAAACCCATCAGGATGTCCTTATTACTCTGTGGCCTTCCGCATCTCAGTTGCTAAAAGCTGAATCAAGTGTGTGCATCAAGTAATGACAGTCCCCATCAATCGTTTTGAAACTTGACAGCAAAAAGCCTCTCGTCAATGAAAAATACAAGGAGTCAGCTTTTAGGTTTGTCAGTTTGCAGCAGGTCTCGGCACTATGAAGTCACCGAGTCAGCTATAAATCGTCTAAAAGAGTATTCTGGAGTAAAATGCTATGGATTTTGCTAACAGAACAACAGTAGCAAATCCACAACAGAATGACAGAAAGAGAGAAAACAAAGTACTGTAATGGCGAAAGTAAAAGTCGCGGTATCAATCCGACTGAAATGCTGTGGCACAAAGTGGTTTTCAGGTTTTCATGGGTTGAGAGATTGCTCCAGACTAAGTCTACACTTGCTCTTCACAATGTACCACACAGCAGGGTATTCGTCAGTCGGCGATGAGCTTTCGCAGCTGGAAATCCGAAGGATAGGGGAGAGTGGGGGTGTGAGTGAGTAGCTGACTGGAGTTCACAGGAGGCAGTTCATCATGCACAGAGTACAACATAAAAGATAGCTGTATTTTCTCTACTATACTTTGAGATCAGTCTGTGAGGTTTCCTCCTTTTGTTTTAATATTGACAGTGTGTCTTTATTAACACAAAATTGCAGGGAGTGTAAAACAACATGTGGGTCAGCAGAAAACACTACAGCACAAATTCCTCTGAGTATGCATGCATAACTGTGGCAAAGGCCACAAGAATTGTGCTTGCAAATTTTCTCACTCACTGATTTGTGGGGTAGTTTGCCTGTGGGGCAGATGGAAAGGTCTGCAAGAAGTCTGGAACAAATGCTGTGGACATTTGCTTCGGTGCATGTTGTCCCCCTCAGGCAATTTCTACAACATTTTCAGATTGCAAAGAAACCGCTCCGAAGGTAAAAAGAAACAGAGCGAAAAAGAGACAATGTAAAAAGGCTTGAGCTATTGCAATGCAAAAGGAAGAGACAATCCCTGCATCTTGAATAAGCTCCATGTCAACATTGGCAGTGTGGTTTTCTAGTTTGTTCATCCATGTTGTGTTTTCCTTATTGTTCCTTGATGCGCATTGTCTTCACATGAAAGAGGGTGCACTTACTTTCTGGCCACAGCTGTACAAGTATTTAATTAAATCTGATGAACAGATCTACAACCCTAAAATCCTGCTGCCAACTCTGACATATCCCAGGAAGACCATCCCCACTGTGCAGTGAGTAATTATTCATGCCACAAGACTTTTAGGTTTGTCTTAAACATTTACCTCATCAGTTGTAAAGACTAATGAACGAAAGCAAAAAGCTAGAACAGTTCTTTGTTGCGTTTGTACCAGAAAAAGGCAGACCCGTCACAAAAAGATGACCTGAATGACATGGATTACTATCAAAACTAAAACCATTTCTAAGCTGCTAAAATCACATGTGAAGTAAGTACAGTTGGGGTTGAATGATGATGTGTTGAGCCTCAATCATCATCACGCCGTTTGTTTTAACGCAAACGACTGTTTGGTTTCATACATCATTTCATTGAATTCACTGCTTGCCAATGAAATACCTCGACGGTCTGTAACTAGCCTTGATGGACACTATATATTATTTTAGTGGCTAAGATGCAAAAGCTCTCAGAATATGATGGGATAACTGCGATGACGACTTTCAAATGCAATAATCAATAATGCCGTTGCAATAATCAGCAATACCATAACAATTGTATTATTTTCTTGATATGAGGCCAAATTATGATGTTACTTTTTTGTAAGGGCAGAGATGCTTTTCCAATGCTATATTATTCTTCTCTAAATCAAATAGTACGAGGGAGACTACCTTTATTAGTCTTTTCGTTTTGATTCACAGATTGAAGCAAAAAGATACAAATTTGAAAGGATTATTGTATGATGTCAAGGAATTATTCCACAGAATGTTCCTTTTATCATTCTACTCTTCTCAGAATAACATAACTAAATATTAGCTACCTATTTGAGTTATTTGGTTGGGGAGCCTGCAACTGCATTAAAACAGGCATGTCCATGTAGCTTGAAAACTGCAGTTTTAAATCAATAGTGAAATAAAAATGTGTTTTTGGAATCCGTTCTTCATGAGTGGAAATGGCAAATTGCTCTTCGTTTTAGGTGATGCGTCTGAGCTGTCTTTCAGCCAGCTGACCATCAGCAAAGAGTGGGGAAAGGGCAGCACTGCTTTAGTGATTTGCTGTAACTGTAACTCTTTAAAACCTTGGTGTATGTCAATACTGGTTACCATTACAAGCCCAACGTGGACTTGCTTTCTTTTTCCACCAATATCTTGACATTTGACAATGACACAGCTCTGCCAGGCTCCAAACATAAGTGTTTGACCATTGGGCTGATAGCCCACACCACTGATGAATGCCAGACCTAAACTGAATTACTGTTACCAAGGAAACCTGAGATTTAGGGGAACAGAAACGTGAGCTTTTTTCCACTCATCCACAGACGAACCGATATATGACAGTCTATCATTTGTGTTTGGTACTTGTTTGCCATTTTTAACACTTACAAAATGTTTTAACGGGTTTATATTTCATACTGAAATTATAACAAATGTCACCGACAAAATTGGGGAGTGGGAAAAACATAATTGTAAAATCTAACAGTGCAGCGTTTGACACATTCACTATTACGTCAAACCTCCGAAAATGATCTGTAGAACTTAAAATAACTTGCTAGCTAACAAATCTATAACAATTAATTAATTACAGGAAGTTTCACGCGTCATTTGCCTTAACCAGAGAACTGCTGAGCAGGTCTTAAAATATGAACAACTTACTGAGTGTCTTGATTGTGGAAACATCATGTCAGGTCCTTGTTTGTCGCTCCAAAACACGACTTGTGTGCCCGGTGTTTATAAATTTCCCCGCTGCGTTGCTCCTTTGTCCAAAGCTAGCTCAGCCTTTCTCGGGAGCTGTCCAGGGTTAGCAGAACGACTAGCTAACGGCAGCTAGCGGTCCCCCTTTTAACCAAAACAAGCTTCAAGCCAGACGGCAAGTGTTGCACTTTGCACCCTTTAGGGAGGAGAAACAACAGAGGAGTCGGTAGTGTTATCAGCTGTAGCTGTGCCTGCTCCCCAAACCTGGTATTTTACTGCGTATGTGAGCAGAAAACCACCATCGGTTTCCAGTTCGTGTCTCTGGCTAAGCTGGCTAATTCTTCAAAAGCTGTCAGTTAAAATGATTCATCGCTGCTGCGAGCTTTCGGCGGCGGCAGCGTCAATTCAGCGTCTGTAAATTAATAACGTTATATGCACAGAAAGAGAGGGAGGCGTCTGGATAAATCTCCTCTCTCGCCTTGTGTTGCCCCCTCAAAGCTCGACTCGACCAATGTTGATAAATAGGTGATTTATTAAAAAAAATAAAAATAAAATGCCACAGTTTAAGTTAAGCACCGACGCAGCCAAAGGGAAAAAAAAAGCTGTCCGTTAAAGAAACAAACAAATCTCTTATTTCGCTGAAGCGGCGTATCCACTCAGAACAGTGACGTTCACGGGCTGGAGTTGAAACTCAGTCTTTATCCCCCTTGAACCGAGCAGCGCTCGATATTAATCGGAGTGGATTTGGCCAGCGGAGGTGAAGCCAAAAAAATAGTGAGTCCGGTTCCTGGCGCAGCTGGATATGTAGACAGACCAGAAACGCTGCTGAGAACAGAACAGCCCCGCACAGAAATAAGAGCCGCTAGATGAGCGCCGAGCAGATCTACACAGCGGGGATCTATCCGCCTCATGGTCGGCCCTATGTATGAGCAAGCAGCGCCCCTAGTGGACAAGACAGGGAATGACGGAATACAGGCCCAGTCAGGAGTGAAATGGCAGGAAATGTACAATGCCACTAAATAAATGACAGAAATGGAACAATCAGAAGCAATAGAATTGCCCCATTATTAATTTAAGTCAACATTTTTCTTCACATTTTAAATCGTCAGTTTACTGATATATTTTTAAAACCTTTTAATTACTTTCCCTTTTATATTTTCATTCAGTCCTTTTTTTTAAATGCCTTTTTTGCCCTTGAATGGCCTTTATTGACAGCTACCAGACAGGAACGCAAAATGGGAAAGACACACACCGAAGGTCTTTCCCACTTCGTCATCCGGGAATTGAATCCCGGACGGCTGCGTTGAGGACCACAGCCTCTGTATATTGGGCGCCCACTCCATCACTACACCACGCAACTATAACTCTGTGGGGGGGGGGGGAAAATAAAAAATTTTTGTGTATATATGGTGTCTAAAATTTAGCTCCAACACGCATTTGAGTCTTCATATGCCTTGCCATCATATTGCAGTAACAAAATCCAATGCATTTTGTGTGATAAACACTGAAGAACAGACATATTTCATATCTGAACCCCTTTGCTCCGATACCACAAAAAAATAAAGCAGTCAGTTGCCTTCAGAGATCAGCTGTAGGTGAACATTTGAAACCTTGCAACAGGAGTATTCAACTCCAGTCATCAAAGGCCGAAGTCCTTCTGCTTTTCACTGCGTCCCAGAGCTTCTCAGCTGAATCAAATGACTGAATTATTTCCTCAATATGCAGTCACGTTACCCAGAGTCCTGACAATTACCTAATCATTTGACTCGGGTGTGTTGAAGCAGAGACACATCTAAAAGTTGCTGGAACAAGGAAGCTTAGAAGAGTTGATAGGAAGATGGACGAGTCCTGGTTGAGGCTGTAAAAGATCCAAGACTTGGGGAAAACATTCAAACCCCAGCAGGACAAGGACCCTGAATGTGCAGTCAGAGCTACAATAAAATGCTATATATATTAGAATGACCCCGTCAAAACCAAGCCGTAAATCCAACAGAGAATGTGACTTAAAAACCGTTTCTTCATTCAATCTGATGGAGCTGCCACTATTTTGCACAGAAGAATGTGCAAAATGTCTCTCTAGATGTGCAAAGCTGCTGAGACAGACTCCAAGACTTGCAGCTGTGCCTGCAGCAGAATGAAACTACAAAAATGTTTACTCAAGAGGGCTTGGAAAGGAAAAAAAAAAAAAGTGCCATACTTTCCTACATCACAAACATGCAGCACATTTAAATTTTATGCCATTCTCAGTTGTATTTTCTTTGAAAATGAGTGATACTTTTAACTGCAGTATTTTTAATCTTATAAATCTGCCCTTACTGTACAGTCTCATCTTTTACCTTGTGTCACTTCACAGAGGAACAGTAACATATATTTCTATTATACTTCAGTTTGAGTTGATCTATCACATGTGATTTCAATCACAAACATTGATGGACACATTCTGTGTTTGTAAGGTGACAGAAGACATTCAGGGGCTTTCAATACTTTTCTAAGGTGCTGTAATTTTGTTTTACACTCCAGCAAGAGAAAGGAAGTGATATACAGATAAATCTGATTTTCTTAAAGTCCCAAAAGCCAGAAGACAACTCAAATCTCCAAAATATTATAAAACATAACACACAGGAAATATAAAGAAACCTCTTCGTCTTGTACATTAGGAATAAACAAACGAACACGTCAGATGGGCTGCGTGGTGCTGCTGTTCTTTGCTCTGTTGCCTCAATGCAAGATCATCAAAATTCTTCTAAACAAGGTGGAAGTGGATGTTGGAAGTTTCGGAAATGTCCAATAAGTTCAAACGAGTCGATTGTTCTTACTGAACCCTCAACAGGTTTTGTGGAAATGGATCACATCTCATTTCGACAAGACAATATTACAGCACAGTGCTGGATGTTAGATCAGTCAGTCTGCAGACCTGTCATTCATTCTGGAATTGAAAAACATCCCTGTTTTCGCTACGATTAATTCTTATTCCTTCACATTTTAGTGAGCGCATGTAGTATTTAGAGACGAGTCAGAATCAGGCTACGAAGGAGAAAGCTGCAAATTGTGAAAATATGAAAAATAGAATAAAACTGCAGGGTTATTTTTGCACCATGTCTTAACAAAAGTAAAAAAAAAGACACTTCGATACTTTAAGGAATACCCGAGCTTAGATGACTTGTAAACATAATTTCTGCTGTAGTTTGGAAACTCTTGATTTTTTTTTTTCCTGCGTTCAAAAGCCGGTCTTGATTGTGCTTCAAGACAATAAACCCGAACTAAAAGATTTGTCTGAAAAGTGGAGGGAAAACAAAACATTCACTTTAAAAACCTGACACGTCTACAGAAAGTAAAACATGCAACGCCAGTAAATGTACAAAGATGCAAGAGGAGAGTATAGGAACATAGTTTATTCCAATTGAAAACATTTAAAAGGAGAAGGCTATGTAAAAATCATCATCTTTCATGTCTGAATGAGGTTCAGGCAACAATGGTTGAAATGAAACATACAAAAAGAGAAATATGGCTAAAATACTGTAAATTAATAACCATTTCCACCCTTCTCTTAAGGGTGACGCAAGAACAGTTCGTCACCCACCCAAATCCTCCCCCAACCTGACACAACACATGCAAATCAATTGACACTCATCTTAAAAACAGCAGTTCATCATTAATCTTAAATATATAATAGTGTATTTTTTTTTCTTGTTAATTAATCATATACTTAGTGTTTGCTTTAAAAAGTGGGCCGTGGAACTATACAGGCCCTCTGATTTTTCACAACATCGGCACTTGTTAAGAGTCTGGCTTTACAAAGAAAGGGGATTGGCACACATTGTACATAATTTACATTTGGTATACGTAAGAGGAAAAAAAAAAAGCATTACTTTCAATTTGTACACCACTACACAAACTTAACTGTTGATTTATCAACAAAGAAAAAGTCATTTAAAGTGGTCCACATGTTAAGGTGTGTAAACCTTATAAAAGAAAACTGAACAAGAAGCAAAGAGCTTTTAATAATAATCACTGTACGTCCAATCCTCCGACCAGGATGGAGCTCAAGCTTAAACGATTGTGTACACACACACACACACACACACCTCAAAGTACCAACAATGCTTGAATGGACATCTACGTTAACAAATGCAAGCCCACTGCAGTGTCGTAGCTTCAATGTGGCAGGACAGTCCACAGTCCAATCGAATAAAAAAAAAAAAAAAAAAAGAGAAAAAAAGGAGGGGGGGAAAATGGTGAATGTAAACACTCAGCAGAATCATCCTCCTCTGACCAATATTGGACCTGTCCAGTACCTTTACTTGGTAAGCACTTCAATAAATAGACTAATACTGAGGCTTCTTCTGGGGGACAAAAAGGTAATCTTTTAAGAAATGTGTCAATAAAATGTACCAAAGTGTTGGGTCAGATTCAAAAACATTTTGGATGTCTGTTTTTGGCACAGTCTTTGTACTGGATTGTCAACTAAACCACTTCTGAAAATGTTTCACACATGTAGAACAAAGCAAAGTAGCAATCTGCACGACAAGATTCAAAAGGAGTGACCCAGCTGCTCGGATAACTGTGTCACAGCCATGTTACTTTCACTGCTGGGCCCTTTTGAAGTCTAGTTGGAAATCTGACAGCCTACAATTTAATCTTCAGAGTCCCACCCAGTTTGCGTGACAACAGCTGATCAAATGGAGGACAGCCCCCACACACGGTTTTAAGCTAAAATTTGGGAGAACAGCATGCTTCCTGAAAGTCACGGACTTTACAAACTCCAAAATCATCATCATCCAGAGTGACACATACTGGTTTTTCCAAACAATGCAAAACCCTGCTATGTGCTTATGCTAGTCATTCACCGAATTAACTTGTGACTTTGAAAGCAACTCTATGAACCTGATTAATTAGCTTTTTTTTAAGCATCATGCATGGAAATATCTAGAGACAAAGAAATACTTTTACAATCTTTTAAAAAAAAAAAAAAAAAAAAAAAAAAAAAGGGGGGGGGGGGGGACCTCGGGGTTTTCCTTGAAATATTTCCAACCTTTCCT